CTAGTTAGAAGGGGAAGATTCAGAGATCTTGAGGGCATGAGGCACCCCATGGTCCTATGAAACCACGTTAAAGGCACACGGTTGCGATGTAAAGTACCTAATTTTGCCCTAAACCCTAAACCCTAAACCCTAAACCATAAACCCTAAACCCTAAACCCTAAAGAACAAGCAGGACAAGCCTAAATCTAAACATTGGACTCGGATGGCCCTTAAGACCATCTGAAACAAGATTCCTAAGCATCATCTGATCTGATAAGGGAAAATATGAAATAGGGTTTAGGGTTTAGGGTTTAGGGTTTAGGGTTTAGGGTTTAGGGTTTAGGGTTTAGGGTTTAGGGTTTAGGGTAGGTAAACGCATCAGACCCCTAAGGTGGCTTCTTCCTTGGAGGCTAAGTGAACCCTAAAAGGGTTTCTGGTCCATATACCTTAATACCCACAGAGTCCATGTACTCATTTAGGATACACTTGGGCCTTAAAGGGGTTCCCATATAGTAGCTTTAGGGCCCAAGTATATACTATATGGCCGGTACATGGACCGTTAGGGATATACCTTAGTAGGGTTAGGGTTTGGCGTTTATAGGGTTTCGGGTTCAGGGTTTATGGCTCCATATACCATACCTAGGGATTGTAAGCGTATAGGGTATATGACACCAATTTTGGGGTTCATGTGGACCCCAAGGTTCGCGTGGCCATCTCACCCTGAACATTTAACTCACAACTCTCAGGCTTAGGGATTTAGGGTTCCGGGTTCAGGGTTCAGTGTTCTGGGTTTAGGGCTTCAGGGTTGGGGGATGTCGGGGTTTAGAGAAGGGACTAGGGAGTTTATGTTGAGGGACGAAGAAAGGGCTATCCTGGGTTTAGCTCCCCTAAACCCTAAACCCTAAACCCGAAACCCTAAACAGGGCTCCTGAAAGCAGCGCTGCCGGCACCCCTGCCGACATGGGCGTGCCTGGGAAAGCCCTCCGCTCCCAGAGGTCGCAGTGCCCAAGCCCCGAAGCCCTTCAACCCCGCCCTAAACCCCAGACCCTAAAAGCCCTAAACCCTCAACCCTAAACCCTGAACCCCAAACCCTAAACCCCAAACTCTTAAACCCTACCCTGGGCCCCAGAACCCCTCAGCCTCTGGGATGGACCCCAACCCCTGTCACCCTACTGTTAGGGGATAGGATTAGGGGGACCCTTGGGGATATAGACCCTCTGAATAAGGTCCCTGTTTAAGAGAGCCAGAAGAGGGTTAAGAAGGGGTTCCCTTTTAAGGGTCCCCCTTATCCTACCTAGGAACTGTCTTGAAAAGCCTCAACCTTAGTAGCCCAGCAACCATATTACAACAAGGGGCACCCCCTATTTTTTTCGGTTGGTTGCTGTATAGCCCCAAGGGTCCCATGTACCTAAATAGGGAATACTTGGGCCTTAAAGTACCTCCCCTCCTATTTGGGGACTTTAAGGCCCAAGTACAGAATAATAAGGTACATGGACCCTTAGGGTAAGGGAAAGAAAAGGGTACCACTGGGCTACCAAGCAAACCCAAACCGCAAGGAGTCCCTGCACACTACGTCATCTCAAAACCCTAAATGCCCGATACTCTCAACCCTAAACCCTATAGGAACTCCTTGAACCTTCAACTAACCTTTCAACCAACACAGTTTCAGGGTGTGGAAAGTTTCAGTAGGATACTTTGGGGGCCCGGGATTTTGGGGCTTTACGGCCTAAGTGGTTGTATGACTAGCCTGCCCAAAAGGGCAGCCGACGCTATGCAGCCACCAGTATCTATAAGGAGCCCTGTCTACTGTCACGAATACGCCGCACGCCACTTGCGATGTCGTGCCATACGCCCTTCTGGTGGCATATTCCAGCGAAATGCTCGTTACCTTGCCACACGATGATGATGTCAATGATTTGCTTCTGCTGGGCCTCGGCGGGGAACACCTCCGGCGTGGTGTCGCGGAGGCGACGCAAACTCCCCCCCCCCCCCCCCCCACATACTTCGACTCTCACAGTCGAATATTGGTCTCGCGGTGCACCAAGTGCAGGCATGGCTTCCACGTCACCTGCGATGGTTGTTGCGGTCTTCTCTCCGGCCTTGAGACACTGGACAAAAGACCCAGGGCTCAGTGCTTGATTAGGGAAAAGGCGACCAGGGGGAGAGGAGAGGGAGCAGTTCGTTGTTGAACGTGTTCTCCATAAAACTGGCTCGGCTTAAAGATCGGTGCCATGACTGTTCGTAAACACCCTTCCTGATCGTGATACCGTCTTGAGCGAGGACGCTTCAGAGAGAGGAATACGTTCTCACCCTGAGCGTGATCTTCGAGACGTTGAGGGCTGCGCCATGTACTTTTTTCAGAATACTGCTAGCCTTCTGCCCTGGCTTGGCTGTGAGGTAGGCGGTCAATCAGCCCGTATCTGCTACCCCACTGGAAGCTCGTTGGTTTAGGGTTGGGATTTCTAGTAATTGCTTAAGAACCCCCCCCCAAAAAAAAATATATATTCTTCCTTATAAGGGTAATACAGGGATTATTGTTTTTTTTCTTCTTTTGGGGCTCTTACGCAAATGGTAGATTAGGGTTTTGGTTTAGGGTTGAGGGGTTAGGGTTGGGTTTGGGGCAAATTCCCTGGGTTCCGCACCGCAGGGCATGGACGCAACCGGTCCTCTCCAGACGCAGGGTGCAATAGGCCCCACCCACTACTATAGGGTTCTTAAGGGAGGGGGGGGTAGGTACCTAGGGAACCTTAGGGAACCTTAAGGAACCTTAGGGAGCCTTAGGGAGTAGTAGGGAGTCTTAGGGGACCTTGGGTTACATACCCCCCTTGAACCCCCCCTCCCTCAACTAAACATAAAACCACAAAACCTCCAAAGCAGAAGAAACCCTGTTAACCCAAAAACCCCTAAACCCTGAGCCCAACAAAATGCCAAAGATTCCCAACCCCCCCCACCCCCCCCGCCCCCCCCCCCCCCCCCCCCCCTCCCCCACTCCCCACACCCCCCCAAAAGCAAGCCCCAAACAAACCCCAAACGCCCGAAACCCTGAGCCCTGAACTCCAAACACCGGGCAAAACCCCCAACCCTAACCTAAGAAACTCTAACAACCTCGGCACCCTCAGAGCCCAAACCCCCGGAGCCTAAACCCTAAACCCCAAACCCCAAACCCTAAACCCTAAACCCTAAACCCCAAACCCCAAACCCCCAAAACCAACCACTCTCCAAGGCGTCCTTGCACCCAGCCGTTTGGGGGAGGCACCGGGACGCCGCTGGCCAGGGGAGAGCCGGCCATGGCCAGGATCCCACCTCGATTTTTTTGTTTTTTAGGGTTTCTAGGGCTTGTTTAGGAATTCTTTTTACGATTTCTAGGGCTTGTTCAGGATTTTTTTTAGGGTTTCTAGGGCTTGTTTAGGATTTTTGTTTTAGGGTTTCTAGGGCTTCTTTAGGATTTAGGGTTTGGGGTTTTTAGGTTGCATCCCGCCTCGATGGGTTTTAGGGCCCTTTTTGGGGGTTTAGGGGTTTAGGGTTTTTAGGGTTTTTGCTGGTTGTTTTAGGGTTTTTTAGGGTTTAGGGCTGAGGGTTTAGGGAAAATGTTGAGGGTTTAGGGTTTTAGGGTTTTTAGGGTTTAGGGCTTAGGGTGACAGTATGCTAAACCCTGCACCCTAAACCGATGAAAGTACCGCAGCTGACGGGGAAAGAGCTCAATAAGATGAGCCCTGAACCCTGAACCCTGAACCCTGAACCCTGAACCCTGAACCCTGAACCCTGAACCCTAAACCCTAAACCCTAAACCCTAAACCCTGAACTCCAGTTCTGCTGCCTTGAGCTGGCCGCCTTCCACAACTCGTGGCTAGACCCAACAGCCCCCGATAAGCTCCTCGCTTCCGGACTGCATCAAGGGCGTCCCCTGGCCTTTGCAAGGGGTTCCGGGCTTAGGGCTTTCAGGGGGGTTTTGAAACCCTAAACCCTAAACCCAAAAACCCGAAATTCAGCGCCCTTTTTGTTCTTTTTGTTCAGGGCTTCAGGGTTTACTTCTTCAAAGAAGAGGGGGGAGGGCCAGGATGGTACGCTTTGGATGCTATGAGGCCATTTAGCCAGAGAGCCCAAAACAGGCCAATACCTCAGTAATTCAGGGGCTTAGGAGGGTTCAGGGTTTGGGGTTCAGGGTTTAGGGGTCTAGACAATAAGGATCCCCTATTCAGAAATTCAGGTCTATTCTTGAAGGGGTAGTGGGCTTTTTGGGTATAAGGACTCTATATGCTGGCTGGCCAAAGATGCGCCGGTGGTTGTGGGGGTGTTTTGCAGGACGCCAGCAGTGCAGCAGTGGAGAAGTGGCACACGGAATTAACTACAACTACGGAGATGAACAAGATGGCTTTGGGGTGGTTAGGGTTTAGGGTTTAGGGGCCAGGGTCTAAGGTTTAGGGTTTAGGGTTTAGGGTTTAGGGTTTAGGGTTTAGGGTTTAGGGTCTAAGGTTTAGGGTTTAGGGTTTAGGGTTCCACGGGCATCTCATGGTAGCCCTGCGAACACAAGTGTCCGCCAGGGCGCAAGTAAACAGCCCAAACCGCGGTGAGCCAACCCACAACCCCACGCGAAACCCCAAAGCCTAAACCCTGGATGCAGCACATCCTGGCCGAGGCGCCTTGCGCGGGCCGTATTAAGCCTGCGACAATGCCACTGAGACTTGGACTTGCCAACCCCAGTGTCACCGGTTGCATGGACATTAAAGGCGAGCGCCTCAACTGGCAGCCGATCCTAGACGAGAACAGGGGCATCTACCCAGCCATGACAAAGCTAGGACTTGACGCTGTGGGCCTCACCGCGGCGCGCCTGAGTCCCAACGCTTGCCTTCCTACTCGTGTAGCAGGTGTGCTTGTTTGCCGCGGCGGACCACAGTACGGTAGCACTGCGGTACTCAGAAGCCAAAGTTTTGCGCAGTGCTCTGCAGTCCGCCAAGACATTGGGAACAATAGACGCATGTGGACTGACATTGTCCTAGAAGATGGTCGTAGCCTTTTTTGGGTTACGCTTTCTCTGCCACCCGAGGGCACCCAAAGAGATGAAGAGTGGATGACAGAACTTGAAGGCCTCGCCTGCGATGTCCAGCTACTCCACGCCAGCTCGACTAAGGAGCCCCTCTTCCTGTGCACCGGAGACATGAACATCCAACCAGATAATTTAGGTGACCGCCCGGAACCCTCAAGAACCAGGCAGCGGGCTTGGGAAGCATTCTTGGACAAGACATCCTTCGCGACCTTCAATCCGTTCTGGGCGGATCCACAGCCACAGGAAGTACACCTGCCTTTCCGGGATCGAACTGTGACTATTTGGCCGCACACGACCCGTCATCACCATCGTGGCCCAGGGAGAGCCATTGATCTTGTTTTTGGCAGCTCTTCTTTGGCGGTTGATGTTGTCATACATAATTCTATCTCGTGTGGTGGGGTAGGAACATGCCCTGTTGCCTGTTGTCAAGAAATTGGATGCGGAGACCATTTTCTTCTGCACCTCGAAGTTGCCCTGTCCCCAGCTAGCTCCTCCAGCTGCGCGGCCCCGCATTTCCCCGGGAAGTGGCACGATAAACGCAGATGGACCACAGCACTGCGGCAAGCAGAAGCGCCTCTCAGGCAGCTTACAGCCGCCGCGTTACAGGGCTATCAGGACCATAGGAGGGCGCCGGCAATCTCCAACATAGGACTTGAAGCTTGTGCTATGCTGCTAAACACCATGGCTGGAGCACTCCGCGACATCTGGATAGGGGGGAGCGTAAGCCCCCGCAGCGACCACAGCTCGCTGACCAACATCACCAGGCACCTCGAAATTGTTGATTCCGAGGAACTTGAAGATATAAGCCGCCAGCTGAGCTCAGCCCCGAGTGGTGCCGCGCTTCTCCACAAAACCTGCCGGCTGCTCAAGCCCCACACCCCGCAGCCTGTTTGCTGCATGATAGAGGGCCATCATCTTTTGACAGAAACCGAAACACACCAAAAATGGTGTCAAGCCTTATTAGAACAGCGCGGGCCTCAGTCCCACATCGACCAAGGCTTTCAGCATCTTGTCTGCAATAGATTGCAAACCCTCCTGAACAATGCACGCTCGAAGCACACGCAGCTGCATAGGGAAATGCCATTTCTGCAGCATGAAGTTGCTGAAGTAATTTCTGGTTGGTCTGCATCTTGCGCCATGCCCCCTGACCTCCTCCCACGGGCCCTTTTCATGTGCAATAGTGACGACTGGAATGATGCAGTGTGGGCCTTGCAGAAATGGGCAGGCCCCTCAGGAGCAGCGCGTAGGCCGTCACTGTGGAGGGCAGCTGCGCTGTGCCCCTTACACAAAAAGGGAAGTGCAGCAGAAATCAGCAGCTTTCGCTTAATCTTTGTTAAAGCACAAATGGGGCTTTTGCAAGAGGCCTTGTTCACGCAGCGGTGGCTCCTACGGGTACGAAGCTTTGTAATGCCTTGTCAAAGTGGGTATGTGAGGGGTGCTGACGATGCTTGGCTACTCCTGCACGAAACGTGTGCGGAAGCCTTATCACAACACCGTCCCATCTGGCTGGTTCTAGGGGATTTTAGGAAGGCCTTCCCAAGCGTCATTCGCGAGGACCTGCTGCACAGTCTTGCTGACGGTCCAGGTGTGTCAGGAGATAGCTTGCTCCTCTGCGCTTCTATCCTCAAGCAGGACTCAGTCCTTGTCTGGCACAGCGGCCTCTCGGAGGTAACTGTCTCCAGTGGAATCCCGGAAGGCGGAACTCTTGGACCCTTGGCTTACCCTTGCCTACTCGACAGCTTGGTTAGGGAGTTGCTCGCAAAAGAGTGTGGCGTGGGCCTAGAAGTAACCGTCCCGCCGGCGTGGTCACACATGTGTTGGAAGGGTCAATCTAAGACTGTTTCGATGATCTGTTGCTCTTCTCCATGCGTCTCCCCCACCGCGTGCGGTCCCTCTCTTCTCTTGGATAATCTCCCCCTGGCGTTTAAAAACCAACACAGGTGGCTAGGAATTACTTGGTCGGCGTCCTTGTCTTTTCAGGACACCTTATCCCAAAAAGCAGCACTGGCAGGCGCAATTTGGAGCTCCATCTGCGGCCTTCTTCATGGCCACGCGTTTCCGCTTGACCTCGCCCTTAGTCTCTTCCGCTCCAAGGTTCTGCCTGTCCTCTTATTCGGGGCTTGCTTGTATGGTTTGGAGGCTAATTTGGAAGAGTTCCTTTCTCGCCTACAAAGTTCTTGGGCTAGACAAGTATTAAAACTTGAACCGTGGCGCAACGCTGCAGTTGCTGCCGCCGAGCTGGGCTGGACTCTGCCATTGCATTTGGAAGTCGTTTTAGAAATAGCAATGAAGCGCTTCCGCCTCTGGCAGCTTCCAGATGGAGACCTCTACAAGACTAGGTTCATGTGGAGTCACGGAGTAGGACAATCATGGGCTTGCAAGAGCCTCAACCTCATTGAGAGCTGGGGCCTCGTGGATTGGATGGAGTGGAAGTCGCCACACTGTGACTACCGAGCCTACGCTCGGCAGCATTTGGAGATGGCGTGGTTTGGCTCTTGGCTTAAGGAAGCTGAGCTCTCCCAGCAACCTCCCGCCTATACGAGTTTTCAGGCAGTGCACAGCCGCATCCCCGAGACCGTGGCTGCACAAATGCTGCCATGGGACACCAGAATGGGCATCCTCTCGCTCTGCAGGCTCAGGGCAGGTTCTCTGCGACTCAGCTCTTTGAACGGGAGGCCAAGCGCAGCGAAGATCCAGCGATGCATCTGCTGCAGCCGCAGGACCAGGGCAGCTAGGGTCCATGCGATGGCAGTGTGTGACCACTGGCTGAGCCAGAGGCAGCAAGTCTGCCAGTCGCTGGGCCTAGCTGCAGACGAGCTTACGCCAGCAGACCTGTGCAGGTCCATCATCGGCTGCTCCCCCACAGCCACAGGTTTTCGGGCCGTAGTAAGCTGGGCAGTAAAGCTGGACAGGCACCACTCTCAATACTGGGGTGCGCAGCGGCTTGGGAATTAAAGAAGAGGCAGTTCTACCACACTGTGCTTCTCCTGAGCCTCCCCGGCTTTCAGGGTGGAGCGCAGGTGCGCGGGGGCCACTGCCTTCAGTTCCTAACATACCTTAAATGCCATCGGCCGCCCCTTGCCCCAGGGAGCCAACCCGCACCCTCCGTGCGGAAGAGTGGACACACACACACACACACACACCCTGACCCTAAACTCTGAACCCTAACCACCCCAGAGCCCCTTAAAAACCCTATACTACTAAAACCTCACTGACTCAACCCTAAAACCCTAAAGCCGTAAAAACCCTAAACCTTGAATGCCTAAAGCCCTAAAGTCCTATACCCTAAAAACGATAAACTCCCGTAAAACAAAGACACCCTAAACCCCAAACCCCAAACCCCAAACCCCAAACCCCAAACTCCAAACCCTAAACCCTAACCCTAAACCCTAAACCCTACCTTTAAACCCTGAAGCCCGGAAGGCTTAAATCCCTAAAAACCTAAAACGCCTTCCCGCCTAAAGCCCTAACAGCTATGAAGCCCTGAAAGCACTAAATGCCCCAACAACCTCATTAAACACCCTGAAAAAGCCTTAAGCCCTAAAGCCCTTGAAGCCCTAAATCCCGAAAAACCTAAAAGCCCTAAAGCCTGAAACCCTCAAGCCTTACAAGCCCTAAAGCCCTAAAGCACGAAAACCCTAAAAACCTCAAACCCTAAAATCCTAAAAACCGAGAAGCCCAACAAGCCCTAAAACTACCTAAAAAGCACTAAAATCTCTGAGAAGCTAAAACCCTCTGAATGCTAAACCCTAAACCCTAAACCCTAAGGCCCCAAGGCCCTAAGGCTGCCTGGAGCCATGCCCGGCGTTGCCAAGGGAGTCTGCATGACGGGGCTCACGTCGGAGAAGGCGGAGTGGGCTGGCAGTGTCAGGTCTTGCCGAGGTTTCGAAACCCTAAACCCTAAACCCTAAACCCTAAACCCTAAACCCTAAACCCTCTCCAGCCTATGTATATCTAACGGCCATTGGACTCGGGGCTTTCCACCAACAATTCGCGGACAAGCACCATCAATTCGTGGGTAGATGTCCAAACTGAAGTCGCGAGCTTAACTATAGTGAATGCTTGCACTTGAGATGCTGAACCCCAAACCCTAAACCCTAAACCCTGAACCTCTGGGTTTTTTTTGGAGTTTATATAGCACCGAAAAGGCTCAAGGCCACCTTTCCCCTACGAGTGGGATCAGACGAAGGCTTGTTGAGCCTTCTTGCCTTAGACCCTGAACCCTAAACCCTAAACCCCAAACCCTAAAGCTCAAACCCTAAGCATGGACTGTTACAGGTACATATATATTTACATAATGGAATATCCACAAAAAAAACAGGCCTTGCCCCCTCCCCTTATTCTTCTTGCCACAAGCCCCCCCCCCCCCCCAGTCCCAACACTTCGACTTCGTCGTGCTCCACATTCGTGCGTTTGAGGGTTTAGGGATCCCTAAACCCTAAACCCTAAACCCTAAACCCTGATTCCTGGGACATGGGGCTCGAGGGTTGATTTAGGGCTCCAGTTCTTTAGCGTTCTACCCTGAATACTAAGATTCTTCCGTAGCATGGGAGAGGGAACGATGGTGGCAATGCCCTCGCGCAGCAGGGAGAGGACCCGTGCCTTGGACGCTTAACGTCTATTCTGCGCGTGCTTTTTTCTTGGATTTTTCCCGAAAACCAATTCTGAAATTGGGTTCTCGTTTGGCGCTTCAATGCGGAAGGCGTTCTATCGGATCGCTTCTTGGAGGGTCGGACGGAATGAATTTTGACGGGAGGCCGCGGACCGCGGAGAGGACACGGTCAAGGGAGGGGGTTCGGAATATTTTGCTGGAGAGGGGCGTGGTGTGGGGAGGCGTGGACCATGCATGGAGGTTGACGGACGGGTTCGGTGCGGAAGGGGAGAGTGACATTCGGTTGATGGGCAGTCGCCTGATATGGGGACACGTGGATGCCCTTCCGCGCCCTCCGCACCCTCCGCGCGTTTGCAAGCCCGCGCCCTCCACACCCTCCGCGCCCTCCGCGCCCTCCGCGCGCTCCGCGTCCTGCGCGCCCTCCGCGCCCTCCGCGACCTCCGCGCTCTCCGCGCCCTCCGCGCCCTCCGCGCCCTCCGCGCCCTCTGCGCCCTCTGCGCGCTCCGCGCCCTGCGCGTCCCTCCGCGCCCTCCGCGCCCTTCCCGCCCTCCGCCTCCCCGCCCTCCGCGCTCCGCGCCCTCCGCGCCCTCCGCGCCCTCCGCGCCTTCCGCGCCCTCCGCGCCCTCCGCGCACCCTCCGCGCCCTCCGCGCCCTCCGCGCCCTCCGCGCGCCTCCGCACCCTCCGCGCCCTCCGCGCCCTCCGCGCCCTCCGCGCCCTCTCCGCGCCCTCCGCGCCCTCCGCGCCCCTGCCCAGGACACAGTGCGCTGACAGGGTGCAATGCGTCTATTCTGCGGGTGCGTTGCGTCTATTCTGCGGGTGTTTCCTTTGTAAAGTATTTGTTTACAAGGCACGCACGTGCAGCATAGCCTTTAAGTGTCCATCTTACGGAGAGGACCCCTTCAAAGTCCTAGAACTCTAGGGTTTGGGGTCTCAGGGTTGACCGCTTCGGGCCCTAAACCCTAGATAAACCCTAAACCCTAAACCCGAAACCCGAAACCCTAAACCCTAAACCCTAAACCCTAACCCGAAACCCTAAACCCTAAACCCTAAACCCTAAACCCTGTGCCGCGGCCTGTAGCGCCTCTGGGAGCAGTCGGCAACTGCGCCTGTGGGGCATGTAGGGTTCGGGCTTCAGTGTGTGGAGTCAGACCACCGCCTGCGGTTTAGGGCTTAGGGCTTAGGGCTTAGGGTTTAGGGTTTAGGGTTTAGGTTTGGGGTTTGGGGTTAGGGTTTAGGGTTTACCTGGAACGCCGTAGTTGCTGCTTTTTTGCAGCAACTATTGAAAGTGGCAGGAATTTCGCAAAAGTGGCCAGAATTCCTGTCACTGGCAAGTTAACAGTGATTGCCCATCAGAAAGTGGCGTAAAAAGGCGTAAAAGTGGCGTAAAAAAGCGTAAAGTGGCGTAAAAAAGCGTAGACAATGTATGGGTAAAACCTGCAACTTTGCAGTGGCTGGTTTAAAGCGTCAAAAGCGGCACTTTCAATAGTTGCCACAAATTATTGGCAACTAGGCTTTCCAGGTAGGGTTTAGGCCTTCCAGGACTTTACTTGAAGAAGGAACATGGTGCGTTATGATTGGTCTAGGCCAGAGAAAAAGCCACAACCGCTCGACTCAAAAGCCTCAAGCACTCACCCCCCCCCCTAGCTAAAACCGAAGCCCTACACTGTAAGGACTATTTCTTGGGATGTTCCCCCTTATACTAACAGCCCTTGAGAGGGATTGTAAGAGGGGTACTACAAACCCTACTAAGGAGCTGCTAGTAAACGGGGAAACTTCCCAAGACTATTTCCATGAATCCAACCGGGTGGTGGCCCTGCCTGCAAAGTCGAAAGTGGGTGGGCCGCCTGTCATGCTGAAGCAGCTCTCTAGGTTTAGGGTTTAGGGTTTAGGGTTTAGGGTTTAGGGTTTAGGGTTTAGGGTTTAGGGTTTAGGGTTTAGGGTTTAGGGTTTAGGGTTTAGGTCCCTTTTTGGAATTGCAGACCCCTGTATTTTTACATGACAAGAAACAAAGAAGCCATACGGAGGCCATATTGCACAGGGCTGACTGTGTAGTCTAGAAATTCCTGACTCGATGACGCCCAAACGACTTGTAAGGTTTCGGGGGGGGGGGGGGGGGGGGGGGGGGGGGGGGGGTGTGCGGGCTGGCGGCGCGCGAGGGGGGGGAGGGGGGGCGGGGGGTGACTCTGCAGGAGGGCTTGAAGCGCTTGTGGGCTTTACGGGGCTTTACTCCTAAACCCTAAACCCTAAACCCTAAACCCTAAACCCTAAGCCCTGAACCCTAAACCTTAAAACCCCCGATGATCTGGGAGTGAACGGGGAACCCGCTTTTGTTCAAGGGCCTTCAGAAGGGAACCTATACTCTTCAAACGAAAGGAAAAACGGTCATCTCTTGGGAACTGAGGTTCGAAAAGCCGCGTAGAAGGTTTGCCGGGGGACATATCGGGTTTAGGGTTTAGGGTTTAGGGTTTAGGGTCCAAACCGCCCCCCCCCCCCAGCCACTGCAGGAAGAAGCGTGAGAAGGAGAGCCTCCACTCCTTGATCCGTCATCACCTTGGGCGTCACTTGCAAGGTCTGACGAGTTGTTGATTTTTTTTTCGTAGGGAAGTCGGTGCCCTGTACCCCGCCTTTGAGTCCCTAAACCCTAAACCCAGTTTAGAGCCACCTAAACGGAATATGTGCAACGCTTGAGCCCTAGGCACATTAAACCCTACTAAACCCTAAACCCTAAACCCTCAACACTCCGAAGCCCAATCCGGAGTAACTCAGGAATAAAACGGGCACCCTTTGTGGTTTAAAGAGGCGTAGAAGGGAACCTGATCCCTGGAACAAGGGCCTACTCTGGATCCTAGTGATCCCCAAACCCTAAACCCGAGACCCTGCACCCTCAACCCTAGAAACCCTACACCCTAAACCCCCAAAAATAAGGGAACAAAGGGCCTACTCTGACTCCTTCTGTCCCTACTCCAAGTAGACCCTGGAAGAAAATGTATACTTCTTAGGTGTTAAGTAGCTATAATCGGAACCCAGAACCAAAAAAACAAAAGTACTAAGGTATAGTACTCCAAAACCCAGTAGTAGGGCTCGGGGTGCCTTCTCCACACTCAGGTGAAGTAGGGTTTATTTTATTTCTTGTACTCCCAAAAGGACACCAAATATATGCACTCACCAATATTAAAAAGGAATCTTATATACACTCACCAATCCCTAAACCCTAAAACCCTAAACCCTAAACCCTAAAACCCTAAACCCTAAACCCTAAACCCTGCTTCAGGTTCGGACGTAGGAGCCAAAGGGGGCCGACGTGCCAGCCTGCAGGCAGCTGGAGCTTGAGGGTTTAGGGGTTTAGAGTTTAGGGGTTTAGGGTTTGGGGTTAGGTTTTAGGGTTTAGGGGTTTTGGGTTTGGGGTTTAGGGTTTTAGGGTTTCAGGGTTTAGGGTTTAGGGTTTTAGGGTTTGGGGTTTTGGGGTTTTAGGGTTTTAGGGTTTTAGTGTTTTAGGGTTTAGGGGTTTTGGGTTGTTTAGGGTTTCGGGGTTTAGGGTTTAGGGTTTTAGGGTTTTGGGGTTTTAGGGTGTTAGGGTGCTGGGTTTAGGGTTTAGGGTTTTAGGGTGTCAGGGTGTTAGGGTTTAGGGTTTGGGTTTCAGGGCTTAGGTTTTTTTATTTTAAACCGGAATCGCAGACGCGAAGGGTTTAGGGTTCAGGGTTTTAGGGTCTTAGGGTTTTAGGGCCACCCGACGCCCTGTTTCTTTACCGACGCGAGCCTGAGGCATGCTGCCGTACACTGCGGGCGTGCCCTGCCAAGGGTTTAGGGTTTAGGGTTTAGGGTTTAGGGTTTAGGGTTTAGGGTTTAGGGTTTAGGGATTGGGATTTAGGGTTAGGGTTTCGAGATTTAGGGTTTAGGGTGTAGGGTGTAGGGGCCCCTTCTAGACACTAGCATGCGGTTCCTTTAACCCCTCCACAGAGAACCCTGGTTGGAGCTACCCCCTTGTCACGCGAGGGCCGGTGGAGGGGTTTTGGGAAGCCAAGGTTTGGCAACCCTAAACCCTAAACCCTAAACCCTAAACCCTAAACCCTAAACCCTAAACCCTAAACCCTAAACCCTTCATCCCCTGGCCAAGTGGGGCCAACACAGAGATCGGTTCTAGGCAAGGCTTTTGAGGGTCTGGGGCACCAAGGAATATCGCAGCTCAGGATAAGCTACTAGTTGCTTAAGAACCCCCCCCCCCCCCCCAAACAACAAGAGATAACAATCCCCAGAATAGCCCTGTAAGGAAGAATACTTATGATTTTCTGGGGGTTCTTAAGCAAATAGTAGAGAGGCTTGCCTCGGGGGGCTGCTGGTGTGAGTTTTGCTTCATCGAGGACTAGGCCGACCCAAGAGTAACCTGAATGGAGAAAATAGGGTGTCCTTTTTCGGGTCAAAGGGGCTTCTAAATGAACCTAAACCCCAAAAGACGGAAACAAAGGCCGTCTCTGGGTCCTATAGAGGAAAAACCCTAAACCCTAAACCCTAAAAACTAAAAACCCTAAACCCTAAACCCTAAACCCTAAACCCTAAACCCTAAACCCTAAACCCTAAACCCTAAACCCTAAACCCTAAACCCTAAACTAAACCCTAAACCCTAAACCCTAAACAGAAAGAAGTATTGCGGGGGCTCCTGAGTTGCAACGTAGAGCAGAAGCGGGTAGCTCTTCTTGGGGCTTGGAGTCTATTGCTTTGGGGTTTAGGGTTTAGGGTTTAGGGTTTAGGGTTTAGGGTTTAGGGTTTAGGGTTTAGGGTTTAGGGTTTAGGGTTTCTTGAGATGGCGCTTCCTCCAAAACACCTCCCAAGCTACACTCACACACCTGCTTGAGTGTTGGGGTTTACATGACGTCTTGTGCATCTAATCTACTACTCTACCCGAAGGGCCTCGGGCTCAGGGTTGTCTAAGCCAGCAGAATACAAGCCCCTAGTTTAAGGAGGTACTTTGGGGGGCCCAGGTTCCAAAGAGCCCAGTACCTCCTTAATTCAGGAATATGCCTTAAGTCATATGATGAAGGATCCCTTTACAAAGCAGTGTGTATGCCTGAGGGGTATTGGGCTCTTTGGGTAGTTCAGCTCGCTGGACAGGTGTAAACTGGAAGGCGGTGGGTTGCCGCGCAAATGCTTTTTTTGTTTTTGCTTTTCTACTTTTTGCTTAAGAACCCAAAAAGAAAAATTCTATATTAACCTGAATAAGGAAGAATCTCTTCTATTCTTTCGGGGTTCTTAAGCGATTAGTTAGTTTTAGAGCTGCAGGAACTCCCCCTGTTGAGGGTGTAGGCCTCTAGACCCAAAAGTCACCTACTTGGAGGTTCATGGGTCCTTGAAACCCCAATTGTAGGGTTTAGGTTTTAGGGTTTTTATGGGTTTAGGGTTTTCACCTCAAGTATAAGTCTACTTATAACCTACTTAGAGGACTTAGGGGGCTTATAAGTACAGTTATAGTTGGGGTAATAAGTACCCTGAACCTCCAAGTAGACCCAAGAGTCACCGAGGAATACGAAAAAAGGGGGGGGGGGGGGGGGGCGTCTTGGTCTAAAGGGGCTTATAAGGGAACCTAAGCTGCAACAAAAGGGACTATAAGAGCCTACTCTGGGTCCTAGGGTTCAGGGATGAAGGGTTCAGCTCAGAATGTTTGGGGTTTAGGGTTCAGGGTTTAGGGTTTAGGGGCCTTCAACCCACCTCCCCCCTCCCCCCCCCCGCAATCGATGCTAAGGCGTGCCATCGAGGTGAAGGCAACGGGAGAGAGCGATGCTTGCACGCCCATGGATTGGTAGACTCCTGCTGGGAGCTTCCCCAAAACTTACACCCTAAACCCTACCTTCAGAACAAAGACCTGCCGTTTTGTAGGTTGCCCAAGAATCCTAGAAAAGGTTTTATCACAAGAACCTACAAGAAGTAGTTCTGGGATTCTGAAGGTAGACCCTAAAAACCCTGTAGGAACTCAGAGCCTAGGTCTTCTGAGAGGGTACCAGCACGAGTTCACGGACGTGTTTTCTGTTGGAACTGATCTCTGAACCCTTCAACCTCCCTAAGGCAAAACACCCTGAACTCTACCTGAATGCTCTAGACGCAAGAGCAACCTAGGAAAAACAAGGGTGCCCCTTTTGGTTTAAAGGGGCAAACCCTTGAAACCCTTGCAGGATTCGTGGGGTCCCGAAGAAAACATGAACCTTTCCAGGGAAACCAGACGCTCTCGAGCTGCTGCTTGCAAGGGTATCCCTAAACCCTAAACCCTAAAAACCCAAAACCCAAAACCCAAAACCCTAAACCCTAAACCCCAACCCTAAACCCTAAACCCTAAACCCCAAACCCTAAACCCTAAACCCTAAACCCTAAACCCTAAACCCTAAACCCTAAACCCTCGGGCTCCTCCTTGCGTCGCCAGCGGAGAGCCGGGGTCCGGAAGGAAGTGGGCAGGCGTCTGCACGAAGAACTTGAAGGGTCCGTTCATGGCTGGCAAAGAAGAGCGGCGGTTTAGGGTTTAGGGTTTAGGGTTTAGGGTTTAGGGTTTAGGGTTTAGGGTTTGGGGTTTGGGGTTTGGGGTTTGGGGTTTAGGCTTTAGGGTTTAAGGTTTAAGGTTTGGGGTTTGGGGTTTAGGGTGTTCAGGGCTTAGGGTTTATGGTTCCTTTTTAAAGGGCGCCGTACTTTTTACAGGATCCAAAAGGGGGACCCTGATGTCGATAACCACCCTGCGATTGTTGATTAGGGCTATATATAGGGATGTAGGGTGTTAGGGATTTAGGGCCTAAAGGGTTTGCAGAGGGGCGAGGGTCCAGGATTTTTGTAAGTCGACAATCTGAACCAAAATCCTGCCTTGCAACCCCCAAAACTCCACAATAACGCCAGGGTCGACCCCTAAACCCTAAACCCTAAACCCTAAACCCTGAACCCTAAACCCTAAACACTAAACCCACTCCTTAAGGTTTAGGGTTTAGGGTTAGGGTTTAGGGCTTAGGGTGTACGGTGACGCTGTTTAAACATGCGATTTGTAAAAAATAGTTTATACCATTTCCGTTGGGTTTCGAGCGGGCCGCCAAGCCCACCCCTCCACCCCTTCCACCCCACACCACCCCTCCCCTCCACCCCTCCCCCTCCACCCCTCCACCCCTCCACCCCTCCACCCCTCCACCCCTCCACCCCTCCACCCCTCCACCCCTCCACCCCTCCACCCCTCCACCCCCCACCCCTCCACCCCTCCACCCCTCCACCCTCCACCCCTCCACCCCCTCACCCCTCCACCCCTCCACCCTCCACCCCTCCACACCCCTCCTCCACCCTTCCACCCCTCCACCCCTCCACCCCCCGGATTGGGTTCAGGTTTGGAACCCCATGACGGCGAGAGCTTTGGGGTTTTGGGGGTTTAGGACGCAGTTTAGGGGTTAAGGACCTAAAAAGCATGCAGAGATTTAGGGGTTTGGGCTTGGGGGTTTAGGGTTGAAAAAACCACAGCCCGAAGTGCCCCGAATAAGGTTATAGGATCTAAACTTTCATAACACGAACCGCCTCTCAACTCGAAACCACCCTTCACCCTGAACTCTATCTCGAAACCCCCGAACCCCCTAAAGCCTGCAGGTACGTCACTGTGAACCGGACCCTAAAACCCAGTCCGTGTCCGAACGATGCCATTGCACCATTCCACCACTCATGTGGCGGACCCTACTCAGCAGATAGATTTCGGGCCCCGGCGGCCACGGTCTGGAGCACAGCGTTCGCAAAGTCAGTCTCAGGCAGAGAGCAAGGCAAGCCGGCACGGGTGCGTGACAAGACCAGGGCCAGGGTCAAAATAACGCGCAGTCCGCATGACCAACCATCACGCTGAAGAGGCACAGCGGCTTGCGTGAGGGAATAATCCCAACCCAGGGATTCGAGAAACGCCACTGCCATGTCCCGCAAGGTTGTCTCTCTCAGACCGTCGTACAGCACTGCCGACAACTGACGGCGATCCACCACCAGCAAAGCCTGGTGATGATCTGAGTGAAGGACGCCGGCAACAAGGGGAGTCGGAGGCATTGGGTGAAGTTGCACAGGACCGAGGCGCTATTCACACTCGAGTCATCCCGAAAAGGACCTGCCCAAGGTTTGTCTGGCGCCCCATTGCAAGGGCGAGCACAGGCTCGTACGGCCCAAGCCTCCAAGTCCTGGCAACATTCTGAAGACAATGTGCGAGGAAGTCTTTCCTGCAGGGGCTTGTAGAGGAGGGGTGGCGAGGTGGAGGGGTGCAGGGGCGGAGGGGTGGAGGGGCGGAGGGGTGGAGGTTGGAGGGGTGGAGGGGTGGAGGGCTGGAGGGGTGTAGGCAACTGTCTTTTAAATACACGATTTCAACAGCACGTTTATACTACCTCCGTGGCTCCGGGGGGCCTGGCCGCCCTCCACTGATTTAAAAAAACACATCGTAGGGTTAGGGATTAACCCCCCCGCCCCCGCATGTGCGAAATCACCCAGAAACCCTAAACCCTAAACCCTAAACCCTAAACCCTAAACCCTAAAACCCTAAACCCTAAACCCAAACCCTAAACCCGTTGCTTAGAGAAGAAGCACGTTGCTCTGTTGAGGTCTCTGGGACCGCCTTGTCTAAAACACCCCCTAAGTCACAATGGGATCCATCCCGAAGCTACGCCCTAAACCCTCAACTTATAGGGTCCGTAAGGGAGGCTTAGGGTTTAGGGTTTAGGGTCTAGGGTTTGGGGTTTAGGGTTTAGGGTTTCGGGTTTAGGGTTGAGGGTTGGGGCTCTTGGGGGGGTGCTAGTAGGTACCCAGGGAACCTTCAGGAAGCTTGGGGAGCCCTAGAGAGTGGTGGGGTCTAGAATCCACTCTAAACCCTGGGAGCCCTGCCGAACCTTATCCAGCCATAGACCCTAAACCCTAAACCCTAAACCCTAAACCCTAAACCCTAAACCCTAAACCCTAAGGGGTATAGGAGCGACCCCCTAGAAGGGACCCTTAGTCTTAATTCCCCTACCGTATATATAGTCCCTCTATACCTAAGTAGCCCCTAAGTATCCCTTATGTAGTCCTTATAGAACCCCTATATATACCTTAATTATATTGTTCCTAGCCCCTAAATAAACCTAAACCCTAAACCCTAAACACTAAACCCTGAACCCTAAACCCTAGAGGCCTTGTGGGACAGCGGGATAGAAGGCATGGGAATTGGTGCCATAGCTGATCCTGCGAGGCACCTTGGGCTCGAGAGGGTGTTGGGCTTAGGAACCTTGAAAACCATTTAGGGTTTAGGGTTTAGGGTTTAGGGTTTCGGGTTTCGGGTATAGGGTTTGTTACCCTGTGCTACCCTTAACCCTGTAGAGGTATATGGGCCTTTCACATTTTTTTTGGGGTTCATGTAGTCCTCAAGGAACAAGGAAGCGGGATGGGAAGCCGGCGCACTCCGTGACAGCAAAGACTCGGCAAATGGAGCTTAGGGAGCAGGGTTTAGGGTTTCGGGCTTATAGGTCTAGGATGTCTGGAGTGGAAGGGGCCCACCCATACGTTGCAGCTCTTCTTTGCAATCGCTCCGGCATGATTTGGAGGGCGGGCCACCTAATGTCCTCGACCCTGACTCTGACATTCGCCCCTAAGCCCCTAAGCCCCAAACCCTAAACCCTAAACCGTAGACCCTAAACCCTAAACTCTAAACCCTCAATCTCGGTGCCTGAAGCTCCAGCCAACGAAAGCCTCACACCCATAGCTGCCCAAACCCTACAGTAAAGCCCCCAAAAGTTGGAACATCATTATCCTCACGCCCCGAGACGCCTACTGAAGGGAAGCCAAGCACGAATCATCCCTAAACCATGTTCCCACTTTCTGGAGTTTACTGGAAGCCCCAAACCCTTACGTGAAGTATGGTGCTTATTGCGAGTGCTGCGGACTCGAGGTCGTGAATCATATGAAGGTATCCCAAAAGGACACCAGTTATCTTCACTCACCAATCTTTACAAGGAACCCTAGATACACTCACCCACTCACCCATTTAAGAGGCACAAACCCGGGTAAGTGTTACTGTCAGGTCCGTGTACCTTGGGGACTACATGAACCCTACAAGGGTTTATGGTCCACATGCCTTGATAGGGATTACAGTAGTACAGGGAATATGACCCCAATTACAATTTTCATTTGGTCCCCAAGGTATTGCCCCCAAACCCCAAACCCTAAACCCTAAACCCGAAACCCTAAAACCTAAACCCGAAACCTAAACCCCAAACCCTAAACCCTAAACCCCAAACCCTAAACCCTCAACCCTGGCGCCTGCTGCTGCACGAAGGAGCTGAGCTGGCCCTGAGCATCGATCAAGGACCTTGCTGGGCTTGCTGGGCTCAGGGGTTCAGGGCTTCAGGGCTTGAGCTTGAGGGTTTAAACCCTAAATCCTAAACCCTAAACCCTAAACACCCTGAATAACCTAGTAGGGTTTAGGGTTTAGGGTTTAGGGCTTAGGGCTTAGGGCTTAGGGCTTAGGGCTTGAGGCCGAGGGTTTAGGGGCCTGCCTACACCCCCTAAACCCCCTAAGCCCCCCTAAGCCCCCCCACCCCTAAACCCCCTACACCCCCTAAACCCCAAACCCTTGAACCCGAAAACCAGCAACGAAGCCCGAAACCTTAAATCCGAAACCCTCTGGGAACTTTTCCTAGTGAGGAGGTTTAGGGTTTCTCGTTGAAACTACTTTAGGGCCATGTCGGCCCCAAAATGAGTAGTCGCGGGACTCAGCCACCCATCTGGAAACGAAGATCAGCCGCCGCAGCCTCCACCCACGCTGCTCCTGGGCGACTGTTTGCATCCTCCGCCCCCAATCTGCGGAAGAAGACGCCGTCGGAGAACCCTAAACCCTAAACCCTAAAGGGGCACTAACTCCGGCATCAACCCCGGAGCTGGGTGACCCACGAGTCAGAACCACCCACAAGATGCTGCCAAAGCTGAACACATCAGCCGAGGCCGTGTGGGGGAGGGTTTAGGGTTTAGGGTTTAGGGTTTAGGGTTTAGGGTTTAGGGACTTCTGAGCACTTCGGTTACTTTCGTAGCTCCTTGGAGATTTCCCATTTGTGCGGTTGGTGGCTTGGGGAATCTGCGGGTTCCTACACTGCGAACCCTCCACCCTCGACCTATAAACTGCGAACCCTGAAGTGAAGCCTAAACTGCGCTCAACCCTAAACTGAGAACCCGCAACCCTCAACCCTACACTGTGAACCCTCAGCCCTAAACCCTAAGCCCTAAGCCCTAAACCCTAAACCCTAAACCCTAAACCCTAAACCCACCTTGGCGGCGCTAGCTCCATGGCAGAGGACTGGACCTCGACGTCCTCAACCCCTCCCTGAAGCCCTAAAACCTTAAGCAAACCTTTAGCAGCTTAAGTCCTGAACCCTAAGCCCTACACCTTCCGAACCCGAAGTACAGCTCGTAGCCTAACCCCTAAACCCTGAAAGCTGACCTTCGAGATGCGCAATGTGTGGCTCACGTGGAGTGTTGGAGCTGTCGGGTGGAAGCTTTCTTCGACCTTCTAGGCTGCATCTCCAACGGTCTGTGGTTTAGAGCCCTAAACCCTAAACCCTAAACTCACTGCGACCTGCCATTCCTCAACTCCATGCCTGCAACATGAAACCCTAAGCCCAAGCATGGCGTGTAAGTCTCTGAATTGGGACGATGGCTGCAGATCTTCGGGTTTAGGGTTTAGGGTCTAGGGTTTAGGGTTTAGGGTTTGGGGTTTAGGGTTTAGGGCTTAGGGTTTAGGGCTTGCTTAGGGTTTTGGAACTTACTCCATTGCTTGGTAGCCCAGTAACCACATCATAATAAGGCGTACCCTTTTCTTTAGTTGGTTGGTGTCTAAGGGAACCCAGAACCAATTAAAGGGCAAGAGGTACCACTGGGCTACCAAGATTACAACGGGAATGTTCGATCTTGCTTTATACGTAAGGAGGGGATGATGAAGGGGACTATGCGGGTAGGTGTCTGAGGCGGAGCATAATCACGTGCAGGAATGTATACTCAGCGATGAAACCATAGACCGGAGAACCCTAACCCTAAACCCTAAACCCTGAACCCTAAACCCTAAACACATAGGAAAGAACCACCTAGAAGAGACCATGAGCCCTCTGCGTTTGAGGACTACTTGGAGGTTCATGGTAGTTATTAACCAATGATAACTGTACTTATAGCTGTACTTATAACCATGTTGGGGCACTTAAGGAGCTTATAAGTAGGCTTATAAGTACAGTTGTACTTGGCTAGTAAGTACCATGAACCTCAAGCACCTCGTGGACCGAGAGTCCTAGGGCCTCTGTTACATGATATCGCCTACAAGAAATCGCTTAGGGTTTAGGGTTTGGGGTTTAGGGTTTAGGGTTTGGGGTTTAGGGTTTAGGGCACGAAGTGGGCCTTAAATAAAAGTCTGATCAACCCCACAACATGCCAGCCACGATGTCTGGGCTACCGCAATAAATCCTGGCACTAGCTGCGAAGTAGAAAATAGAAGGCCATGTGCTCAGGAGATGCTTCTTAGGAACAGGTAAGACGGGCGATGTCCAAAGAACACAATTGAATTTCCAAGTTGGCGTCCACAGAACACAATTCAATTTCCAAACCTCCAATCCTACAGCCTTTAGACCCGAAACCCGAGAGCCACGGACACTGGCAAGCGAGGTGCAGCAAGCCTAAACCCTAAACCCTAAACCCTACACCCTAAATCCGACACCCTAAATCCGACACCCTAAACCCTAAACCCTAAACCCTGCTTAATCCCTCTTGGTCCCAGATAGGGGATTCTGACGGTCTAGTGTCTGTAGGGCTCCTGTAGTACGGGCCCCAAACATGCGCCCGTAATTTGGGGTCCTCATATACTACATGTGAGGGTTTAGGGAGTATACGTGCAAATAAGTAAAGCAAAAGAAGAATCTTTATAAACCTTAAAGGGTGGCGGGTTTAAGGATTGGGGGTTCAGGGGCTTAGACGTAGGGTTGCAAACCTCTATTTGTTGCGGGTCTTTGTTGGCAGCGACATGCCACTCCTGCTTGGAGGTTCAGGGTACCAATGACTTATAACTGCACTTGCAAGCCCCCGAAGTCTTCTGAGTAGGTTGGGGTTCTAAGTACCCATGAACCTCCAATTAGTGCTCCATAGCAAGCCTTTGTCAGAAGCATTTACATACACTGCCACCTCATGGTGGAGACACATGGCTAACAGGACAAGGCCTGTAGCAAGCGGTCATCTTCCCGCTGTCCGGCCGCGTTTTGCCAGCCTCGAGCAAGAAACGACGTAATGAAACAAAGGCACGCTGTCACCTCATGGGTGAAGCGTGCCGCGGTTGCTCAGGACGTTGACGGGCACAGCCAGGTAGACTTTGCCATTCCTTGTGATCTCAGTGATCCCAAAAAGGGTTTTGGGTTTAGGGTTTAGGGTTTAGGGTTTAGGGGCCATCCACTCTCAAATTTGGGGGTGCTGAGGGTGCCAAGGGTTCTGCAAATCGGTGTACTACGGCATGCAAGCCCCCCAAACCCTAAACCCTAAACCCTAAACCCTCGACCCTTGTCCCTTATCCCGTCTCTGGACGATATGGGCCTTGGCTGAACCCTAAACCCTAAACCCTAAACCCCAACCCTAAACCCCAAACCCTATACCCTAAACCCTCATCTGCACCATTTCGTCCCAAAGGTTCTCATCGGGCTCTGGAAAGCGACCGGCCCGGATGTTGCACTGCACCGAGGGGACGATGAGCTTAGGCACCGCCAGCTGGGCATCCCGGCTGTCGCGCATGCTCACCTGAATTCCATGTAGGGCTGTGGTTTAGGGGTTTGGGGTTGTGGGTTTAGGGTTTAGGGTCTAGGGTTTAGGTATAACAACATGGTTAATATGAGGATATGAACATATATTGTAATGTTACCCATAGGACAATATGACAATCTGACAGTATAATGATGCAACAATGTAGCGGTTTAGCGCTATAGCAATATAACAAAGATAACAATATAACTAATATCACAATAGAACACGGGCTTGCCGTGCTAGGGCAAGCAACGAGCGATGTGCCAGCATTCTCAAGTGATGTGCCAGAAAAAATCGACGGGAAGGCTCTAAGCACAGTACCTTAACCGACACGTTCTACACAGGCGTTGCTTCAGCCTCACCATCTCTTGGCGGCACTTAGCCGGGTAGCTATGAATTTAATTTTTGGCTGCCTTATTAAGAAACCCAATAACCCAAAAAGGCTAAGGATCTAAAGTTACAGTAAAGCACCGCGGACCCTAAACCCTACACCCTAAAGTCCTAAAACCCTAAACCCTAAACCCTAAACCCTAAACCCTAATGCACCACGGAGATCTAGAACGGATAAGCAGCGGCTGCGAAGAGGGATGCGAGGATGGATGCTCGCGCTTTGGTTCGCCAAATATATGCTTTGCGGTTTAGGGTTTAGGGTTTAGGGTTTAGGGTTTAGGGTTTAGGGTTTAGGGTTTAAGGTTTAGCTGTTCCCTTGCAATGCGGAACAACTGAGGCCGGTTTTGCGGCACAAGGCAAACAAGTACCGATGGCTTCGGGCCCAACCGGTCTAAGCTTGGCTTAGCCACGTTCAACTTGGCGCTAAACCCTTCACAATCGAAGCCACAATAGCCGAACGTTTACTAAACCCTGAACCATCGAATCCCTGAAGCCATTTAGTTTAGGTCGCGACCCTAAACCCTAAACCCTAAACCCTAAACCCTAAACCCTAAACCCTAAACCCTAAACCCTAAGCGTTGGGGCTTAGAGCTTCCTCAGGGCTGATCGCTTGCCCCAAGTTGCAAACTCGTCCTCGGACTTGCCACCACCTTACCGGCTGACAAAACCCGAAGGTTTAGGGTTTAGGGTTTAGGGTTTAGGGTTTAGAGAGTGAGGGATTGGGTTTAGGGTAGTAGCCATCAGCATGTGAGGGTTGCGGGTCTCCTGGGGAAAGAGGCTTAACAAAATTCGTACTGGGAGTGAAATACCTGCACCTTGGGGTCATGACCATGCCAGCCCTTCTGAAGGGGTGCTTGGAGGTTCATGGTACTAAGTAACGCAAGTATAGCTGCACTTCTCACCCAACTTTTAGCCAATCAGGGTACTTAAGGGGCGTAGATGTGGGCTATAACAACACGAAGAATGGGTTACTAAGTACCCTGAACCTCCAAGTACGCCAGGGGGGGGGGGGGGGGGGCGGTCTCCGGACCCCCACCGCACCATCTCCAGCCAAGACTCCATGAACCTGCCTGGCGCCCCTTACACCCCCCCAGGAAGAATTTCGGAAGCAGGCAAGGGGTTTTAAGTTTAGGCCTTTTCACCCTACAAGGAATAGGTTAGGGTCGTTTTTTGCCGCCTGAGACAGCGTGGGGTTGGAGAAAGGTGTGTTCGATGGCCCTCCACAACCGGGCCCGGGCTGCCGTTTTTTTTTTTTTTTTTTTTTTAAGGGTTTAGGGTTTAGGGTTTAGGGTTTAGGGTTCAAGGCTAGTCTGCATCCCAGACTTCACAGCTTCTTCACCATATCGCAGCAAACCCTAAGCCCTAAACCCTAAACTCTAACCCCTACTCGGCATCTAAGGCACCGATGTGGATGTTGTGGTTCTTCTCATCGCCGATGGTGGTCTCCCAAGCGAACTCGGTGCGGCCACCCTGCCACGTTTAGGGTTTAGGGTTTAGGGTTCAGGGTTCAGGGTTTAAAAGTTTTCGAGATACTGGCCAATCCCTTACCCTCTCGGGCTCCCCTCAACCCTAGACCAAAACCCTAAATGGTTTAGGGTTTTTAGGGTAGAGGGTTTCGGGCGTAACCCTGAATGAGCCCTGAACCCTGAACCCTAAACCTACTTCGAGGACCTCCAGTCCATTTGTTGAGCGCCAGACCTACCTCTGGGATCATTTAAGAGCCTTGAAGGGCTTAGAAACAAACCAACCTACCCAGATCCTCAACTTTAGGGTTCATGGTTTAGGCCCAGAGCTCCATCTAGAGCTGCAGTCCCTCAACACATAATGATAAGACAACTGAACACATTAAAAAAGGGAAAGTAAACGACCCGGGACACATTGAAAAACGATCCGGGAACCCAGACTCTATGATAACAGGATCAAGAGGGTTTCAGCGTGGTCTAAACCCGAAACCCGAAACCCTAAACTCTGAACCCAACAAACTCTACCGTCTTACGCGCTCGCGAGTCAGGCACCAATTCGCCCAAAAGCAGGCATGATTTACGGAAGCCTTGAAAAAGGCGTAGGCTTAAACGGCCCCACCTTCAATGGGGTTTAGGCTTTCCAAAGAAAGGAGGATTTGCATATTTGGAGCCCTCAACCCTAAACCCCAAACCCTAAACCCTAAACTAAACCCTAAACGGGGGGGGACCTTGGGGAGGTAGTCGTGGCCCACGAAGACACGGGTCGTGTCCGGCAGCTGAAGGATCTTCTGGATGGAGGAATACCTCAGCGCCCAAAGACCACGGTTTGGGTTTAGGGTTTAGGGTTTAGGGTTTAGGGTTTAGGGTTTAGGGTTTAGGGTTTAGGGTTTAGGGTTTAGGGTTTAGGGTTTAGGGTTTGGCCCTTCCTGGGACCTTCTTTACAGAATTGCTAGCCCAGTGGTGCACTTGACCTTCCGGGTGCCCTTATAAAGTAACCAAACCCATCAAAAAGGAGTACCCCCTAAACCCTAAACCCTAAACCCTAAACCCTAAACCCTAAACCCTAAACCCTAAACCCTAAACCCTAAACCCTAAACCCTAAACCCTAAACCCTACTACCAAGCAGACTCTGCACACCGCAAGCTGGTTCAGGACGTACTTGTATTTTAGGGCTCCAAGGACCCAGATTAGGCCCTCATTCCCTTTGTATAGGGTTTGGGTTCCCTTCTAACCCCCTTGATATCAAAAAGAGCACCCTTTTTGTTCCTAGGTTCCTCCTGGGTCTAGGCTCTTACCGCCCTCTTCAGAAACAGGGTTTAAGGGTTCAGAGCTGAAAGACGAAAGCCCTTGGAGGGCTTAGGGCCAAGGGCTTTCGGTTTAGGGTTTAGAGGGCTTGCCTGGCACTCTATTTGCCTACAGTTTAGTAGGAAGTACCCCCCCTATTTAGTAGGTATAACCCTTAAAACTGCAGGAACCCTTAACCCCAAACCCTAGACCCAAGATTCTAAACACAAGTCATAGCCTGAACCCTTTGTGGGCCTCATGTGCAAGGTCATGACCCGCTTTTCCCCCCCTCCCCCAACTGCCGTCTCGCGTTTAGGGTTTACCTTAAGAACCCCCAAAACGACTTCTTTGTAGATTCTGGTTCGAAAAACAGCTTAAGGGATTCTTAGGTAACCTACACAAAGTATGGGTTGTTAAAGTAGGGCTTAGGTGTGTTTCAGGGCGCTTACCGTGGCCCTTCTACACCTTTTGTGGGCTTGGGGTTGCAGGCGTGCGCCCTCTCTTGCTAGCCCAGTAACCATATTATAAGAAGAGTGCCCTTTTTTGGGGGTTGGTTACCTTTTATAAGGGAACTTGGAACCTCAAAAAAGGGAAAAGGGCACTACCGGGCCCCCCCCAAGCTATAGGCCCTGTGCGAACCCTAAACCCTAAACCCTAAACCCTAAACCCTAAACCCTAAACCCTAAACCCTAAACCCTAAACCCTAAACCCTAAAACGATCCGAGGGCACAGAGTCTTCGAGCTCCCCCCCGGGAAGTCGCACCTGGCTGTGCCATAGTCCTTACTTCTCCAATAACCAAGGGGGAAAAAAGAGGTTAACTTGATGATTCCTACTAAAAAAATTTAAACTTGACTATTCCTACTACAAAAGGGGTTAAACTTGATTCTTCCTACTACAAAAGGTTAAACTTTACCATTCCTACTAAAAAACGGAAACCCAAAAAGCTTAAAGTTCAGCTGCTGGAGAAAAACCCAAAAAAGTTTAAAAGTTCAGCTGTTGGAGAAGTAGGAGTCCGGCATGAAGAGGGTGTCGCCTGTGAAGAGGGCGTCGCCGATGAGGTAGCACACGCAGGCCGGCGTGTGGCCTCATGAATTGCGGTTTAGGGTTTAGGGTTTAGGATTTAGGGTTTAGGGTTTAGGGTTTAGGGTTTAGGGTTTAGGGTCATTACACTCACAGTCCTTATTAGGATTATAGTACCACCCTACTAGAATCCCTTCTAAGGACTGTTAGTATAAGGCGGAACATCCCAACTGATAATTGTGGCTTCGGGGCTCTACTTGGAGGCTCAGAGGTACTTCTGACCCCACACCTCTAACCTACTCAGAGGACGTAGGGGGGGGGGGGGGGGGGGCGGTGGGGCTTATAAGTGCAGTTCAATGTTGGGGTTATAAGCTACAAGTATCCTGAACCTCCCAGTAAGCCCTATAAGCCCTGAACCCCGGACTTTGGGGTTTAGGATTTTCCAAGGACCCTACGGGGAGCCGAAATATACTTACCCATCTTCTGACCTCTCTATAGCGCAGACCAACTCGACAGCCGCTACCAAACTACGACTCTGCATCATGGAGTTTAGGGTTTAGGGTAAACCCGAAACCCTAATTCAGGATGTGGGGGGAATTCTCATGTTGGCCCTTGTTGGATGTCTGTCCCAGTGCCTCCACATGATCATGGGATTTTCAAGGGTTTAGGGGTTAGGGATAAGGGTTTGGGGAAACCGTCATGTGGGCTTCCAGCCTCTAAACCTGCAAATCCTCTAGAACCCTTAAAGCCCTGAAAGCGCGTTAAAAGCCCGTAAAGCCCCTTAAGACCCTGAAAACCCTTAAGGCCCCCCCCTTCCAAACGGCCTGGAGTGTACAAGACGGAGGCTACGAGCTCGCCGAGCTTGAAGGTTTCCCCGTCAGCGAAGAGATGATCAAACTGCGAGCCGTCCTTCGTAAGATCATTAGTTGACTCATTATCCGTCTATATATATTTTTTTTTATATATTTTTTTTGGGGGGGTGTTATACTATATAAGTAAGTGATTCTCGCCTTATATCATCAGATTGATACATGATTGCATGGTTCTGCTCTTATATTATTAACCCTAGAGTCCTTCTTGAAGTTGGGACCCAGGTTGAAGACCCCCGAGAAAACCTCCTGCACGAGCTTGATGTTCTCGCCGATGGCGATCTTGCCTTAGTTGCTGAGTTCATAAGCCCCATAAAAGTGTACACTTTCAGTTCTATAGGGGATTAAAGTATCCCAAAACGTGTAAGCGTACTCACTCAGCTCTCAGTTGCCGCCCAGCTTGGATTGGATGTAGGGTGCCGCAGACAAGTGGTCGGCATGCGCGTGCGTCTCAAGGATCCACTCCACTTCGAAGCCACTCTGCTCCTTGGTAGCTCAGTAGCCATATTTTGGCACCCGTGTTTTTTATTTTTTTTTCTCGTGTTCGTGTTCGTGTTCGTGTTCGTGTTCGTGTTCGTGTTCGTGTTCGTGTGTGTGTGCGTGTGCGTGTGCGTGTGCGTGTGCGTGTGCGTGTGCGTGTGCGTGTGCGTGTGCGTGTGCGTGTGCGTGTGCGTGTGCGTGTGCGTGTGCGTGTGCGTGTGCGTGTGCGTGTGCGTGCGTGCTTTTGTTTGGTTACTTTACAAGGGAACCCAGAACCAACAAGAAGGGTAAAGGCTACCCCTGACCTGCCAAAGGCTCAATGAAGCTGATGACTTTATCCGCGTGCGCTGTGTCCGTGTTGCCCGAAGAGAAGTCAAAGCGCATGACGGAGTCTACGACGGCAACCTTCTTGCTGCTCGGGTCTCGAACCACACCTTGGGGTAGCCCAGGAACTTATATGGGGGTTTTTGAAGCTAGGGGTACTTTCTTTCTGTTGGGGGGCGGGGGGGGGGGGGGGGGGGAGGGCGGCTCCTATTACAATAGTGACTATAAAATCTGGGGTTATATGTTAGGGGCACCCCCTATTTCGGAATCAGGGTACCCCCGTAGTTCGTTGCTGTTATCTGACAAGGAAGCCCAGAACCAAAAAAACAAAAAAAAACCGCAAAAAGAGTGCCGCTGGGCTACCGAGACACAGCACACTGTGTGGGTGTCCTCCTCGTAGAAGACCGTCACTTGCGGCTTGCTCGGGTCGGTCGGGACACAGAAGCCTGCGGCAGCTTTCTGCAGCATGTCGATCTCGGCCATGATGCCTGCTTCAGGGCCTCAAAAACCTTGGTAAATGACCCTCCTAAAACCCTAAACCCTGAACCACGAACCCTAAACCCTAAACCCTAAACCCTAAACCCTAAACCCTAAACCCTAAACCCTAAACCCTAAGTTTCCTGAACTTTCTCGTGGGGAGCTTTGGTGGCACTCAGAAAACTCTTCCGCGGGCTCCTTCCCCTTCGACTCCACGAGCCGTCACTAGTCCATATCTCTGCCAAGTTTGGGGCTTACCCTAAACCCTAAACCCTAAACCCTAAACCCTAAACCCTAAACCCTAAACCCTAAACCCTAAACCCTAAACCCTAAACCCTAACCCTAAACCCTACGGGCTTAGGGTTTATCTAACTAGGTGTTTCGTGTTTGGGGTTCGGCGTTTTGCTGCCATGTAATGGCGAAACTACCCTTGCTAAAGGGGAACAAGGATTTATATTATAGGGTTTAGGGTTTAGGGCCCAAAATTCTGTCCCCCTTCTAGCAAGAGCCTAGCAAACGTAAACGTTAAACCCTGATCCCGAAGCCCAGCAGAAAGGCAGCTTACAAGGTCAGGTTTTTATTGCCCCGAGTTAGTTTCCTTTTGGGTTATTGTTGGTCAAGATCATCTGCTATAGGTTCTCCTGCAGATGATTCCGTGCACCCTAAACCCTAAACCCTAAATCCTAAACCCTAAATCCTAAACCCGAAATCCTAAACCCGAAATCCTAAACCCTCAACCCCAAACCCTAAGGGCTCAGATCATGGGAAGACCGGCATCGAAACCTTCGACACACCTTTGCACCCTGCACCCCGTCATCCAAAACCCTGAACCCTCATAGGGTTTAGGGTTTGAGGTTTAGGGTTTCGGGGGCTTCTGTGCAATCTGGTATGAGGCTGAAAGCATTGCCTTAGGTTTTTGGGGCCATTTGGCTTCTCTTGGGGGGGTGGAGTCAATGAGGGTCCCGCAAGGCCCATCGGGTTTAGGGTTTCGGTTGAGGAAGCCTCAGTCCTAAACTCCTAAAAGCCCTAAACCCTAAACCCTAAACCCTAAACCCTAAACCCTAACCACCCGAAGCCGCCACCCGACCAGCCTTGACAGGAACGCCTGGCGCAGAAGCGAACTTGAAAATGAGAGGCTGCGGCAGGGCCGGCGCTTAAGAGCCCACGCTGGGCCAGAGGTGTGTAGGCCAAGCATTCTAAAGCCCCCAGAACCTACTTTGTCTGTAGGCTCTGATTTTGAAACCCCTTAGAGGATTCTTAGGCAGCCTACAAAAGATAGGTTTGGGCTCGTAAGGTAAACCTCGAACCCTAAACACTTAACCTCTGAGCCCAAGCCCACCCCACAACTTTGTTTGATTGCAGCTTCCCCACGGTGGACAAGCCAAGCTGGTGCCTATGACCGTTTGCACAAGGCGCATGCCGAAACAGAGCCTGGCTCTGCCAGCTGGTACCTACCGGCTGTCCCCTTGCCAACGGCTCCCAAAAGAGCCCAAGACCCCTTCATCATTGAGTATACCCGCAAAATATCTGAAGGATCCCTTTAAGGCATATCCCTAAACCCTAAACCCTGAACCCTAAACCCTAAACTTTATTCCTTAAGGGGTCTTGAGCTCTTTGAGCTCAGGGTTCAGGAGAGGTGGCTATATCGCCTTGGTCCCAAAATGCCAGGGGCACAGGCCGCAACCAAAACTTGCTACGTGGTACTTAGTCCTCTAGAGAGTTTAGGGTTTAGGGTTTAGGGAGGATTATATGAATAGCGGGCCTAAGGTAATTCCCCAATGCCCTACTAATATTGGGATGTTCCCCCTTATACTAACAGCCCTAATAGGGAGGATAATACCCCATACTATACTCCCAAATTATTAAGGACTGTTAGTATATGGCGGAACATCCAAAACTAGGCAACGGAAAGCCTGAACCCAAATAAATCAAAAAAAGTGCCCCACGCCAACCCACATTCATGGCTGCTTCGAAGCAAGGGGACGTGAGATGATCCGGTATGTAAAAGGGTCTAGGGTTTTGTGTTTAGTGTGCGAGTCCGAGCGTGATGGAGTGTAGGTCGACACCTCTGCACGTCCACGTTTTGCGCTCGCCCGCCCTGTGACACTGCCAGAAGCAACTGTCCTTAAACCCTGACGTTGACAACTGTGACCCTTGAGACCTTAAACCTTTGAAACCCTAAACCTTTGAAACCCCCCAAACCCTAAACCCTAATTAAAACCGAAAACCTAAAACCTAAAACCTAAAACCTGGAAACCTTAAACCTTAAAGCAACTGCAGAACCGAATTGGCCATTGCCTCCGTGCTGTGCCAGAAATAATCCAGAAGTGTACTAAACCAACCCTAAACATCTTACTGGCCCAAAACCCAAGGAAATACAAGTTGAGACTTTCAGAATAAACTACCTTATAAGGAGCCCAAAAGTTGAACAGTTGGGTTTTGAGCCAGTAAGACATAGTTGACCAGTATCCTAAAGGAACTAAAGGTTAACCTTTGGGATTATATGGGGTTAAAGTAACCCAAACAAAGTCAAAAGTCACCTACTCCGCGGCTAGGTAAACCCTGAGCCCTAAACCAACCCGGCCCGAGCCCCAAACCGCCAGTTAGGGTTTGGAGGTTAGGTCCCTAAACCCTAAACCTGCAGAATCTAAGGGTTTAGGGTTTCGGGTGTGAAGTACGGCTGTCATTCCTCGGCGCAACATTAAACTTTTGGGGTTTAGGGTTTAGGGTTTAGGGTTTGGGGTTTAGGGTTTAGGGTTTAGGGTTTAGGGTTTAGGGTTTGGGGTTTAGGGTGACCCAAGAGAGAAAGCTGGGAATAAAAAAAGGCACCCTTGTTGGTTCAAAGGGGCTGATAAGGGAACCTAAACCATAATGAGATAGAAGGGGCCTAAAGCAAGGGGTTGAGGGCTGATTTTTCTTGCAATGGCGCCGAAACAAGCACCTGGATAGAGCTACCGGCCTGGCGCACCTCATTCAGGACTCGTCTGCTCTGCAAAAGGGTTTTGGATTAGGGTTTAGGGTTTTGGATGAGGATTCTGTCGTGCATTGCTTTGTGGGGGTTTACGAAAATGAGGGCCTCTAATAGAGTCCCCCAACTAGTAGGATTCCCTTATAATACGGACCCCAAAAAGCCCTAATCTCTAAACCCCATGACAACCCCAATAAGGTACCCCGAATTTCGGAAACCCCCTTGTCGGCAAACTAAGCCTTGCACGCGAGCCTCGAATGCAGGTGTGCCTAAGGGGGCGGGAGGCGTGCTCCGACTATGAACGCCGAGAGCGAAGGCTCAAGGGAGCTTCGGGGCTTAAAGTTTGGGGTTTAGGGTTTAGGGCAAGGGTTTAGGGTTTGGGGTTTAGGGCTAGGGTAGAACAAGAGTAGGATCGCAAGTTCTGGGAAATCCCCTAAAAACGCTACACCCCCAACCCCAAACCCTTTCACTGCGTTGCCTGAGCCCTTTTAGTGAACTGTCCCAACCCTCAGCCCAAATCCGTCACCCGTGGTTCAGGGTTTCGGGCTTCGGGGACTGCAGCCCGGGCTATACTATGTTTAATGCCCGTGATGAACAGGAGCCCCGAAACCAAAAGAGACCCAAAAAAAGTTTTCTGTTTTTTTTTTTGGGGGGGGGGGTTGGCATGGTTTGGGGTTGAGGGTGTAAGAGTTTCAGGCCTAGGTTTGCAGAATTTAGGAGTTAGGCCTTCGCAACTACGCACAGATCTGTCTCCTTCCGAGAAAGTCAGACGGCCGGCGGTGGGTCACGAGGCCTGAGAGACGTTACGTACCCCGAACCCTGAGCTCTTTCCCGACTCTTCGGGAATCCATTGAACGGCTGGGTCCCCCAAAAGATAAGCCACCTACTCAGCTGCTACACTGAAAAAGCTAGAACGGGTATTGCCGGTCGCTTTAAGCTACAGGACTACCTGACTTGCCAATCACAGAACAAAAACAGACAAGCACAGAACCCTACTAAGCCCCATGAGCCTCCACGCATCACCCCCCCCCCCCCCCAACCTTTTTCTAATTGTTGAGGCCCCTATATTAAGCCGCTCACATTGGGCACGGCGTGTCACGCAAGAGGGGCAGCGCGTCAAAGCGGATGCTTTTTTTCGCCACATGAACGGCTCACAGATCGGAAGCAAGGTGAGGCTAAGCACGAAGGTCACGTTCCCGCTGTCTGGACGCCTACTTCTTTGACGGTGCTCTCTTTGATGCTCTCTTCGACTGTGCTCTCTTCGACTGTGCTGGAAGCATTCTCGGCTGTAGGGGAGCGGAGGAATCCGATTCTCACCTCCTGTGCCAGGAGCAGCATCAACACAGCCAACGGGACCACGATGGAGCCTGTGAACACGGCGAGGGTGGGTTTGTTGATGCTGCTGTTCAGCGTCCAATCGATCGGCTGCAGGGTTAATACCACGGCGCTGAGGATTGCTGTCGCGGATGCGAACAATGTGCCAAGTTCCATGGCATTGAGGCTAGCATCGTCGTAGGGCTTCGCGTACGAGTGGAGAGTGAGGCTCGCACCGATGATGATAAGCTCGAAAGTCAAGAACAAAAAAGGTGAATAGCTTGCCTTGTGCGCGGCTCATGGTGTTCTCTACGCTTTAAAAACTAGAACACACAAAATGAACCGAACTCTGTGTCTAGTCCTTGACCTTTCTGAGCTCAGTCACAGGGAACAGGGAGCCAGCCATCACCAGCGCACACTTGCGAGTCAGCACCATAGCCTCCCACCAGTCCAAATCCTGTGAGTGGAAGGAACCAAGCTAGGGAGTTGGGTTTAGGGTTTAGGGTTGATAGGGTATATGCCAAACACACAGGCTTCAAGAGTTTGGGGCTGAGGGTGCAAGCGTTTGTTTGGCCTGGAGGAGATTTGAGGCAATCGCGAATGAATATCATGAAGGCTTCGCTTGTCCGGAACCAGGACTGTGAGTCTACATACCAAGCCCTGGAACTTTCAATCGGAAGATCCAACCTGCAATCCATGGCACAAAGCCTGGTAAGATTTCAAACGTTGCAAACCCCACAACCCCAAACCGTAACAGGTATCCCCTAGCCAACAGCTATCTTCAGGCCTTGAATGCTCCGAGCCACTTCTGGCTTCCACCTTCCCCCTTCTTCCCTCAACCATTCTATACCCGAAGTGCGCAAATGCAAATTCGAAACGTATGAACACCAAGCCTGACATCCGAAATCCCTCATCTTGAACTCAAAAGCCTGAACACCTAAACCCCTTCAGGTTTAGGGTTTAGGGTTTGGGGTTCATCAAGACGTGCTGTAAATCCTGAACCTCTCCCGCCCTAAACTCGCCAGGTCTACAAAAATGATCCTAAGCTTTTGGATGTTGCCTTGTCGTTGTTTCTGCTTTTGAGTCTTGACGCTTTGAGGTTTCGGCGCCGACTGCTTAGGCTTTACGGTTTGGGGTATAGCTTATAGCTCAGGGCTTTGGGCAAGGGATTAGGATTCACGCTTTCGCGTTTTTGCGTTTAGGGTCTGAGGTTCTGCGTGTAGGGTGTAGGGTTCAGGACTTAAAGGTGGGATGATCAGGTTCGGGCGTCAACTGCTGCCTCTTGGGATTCTGGGTGTAGAGTTTAGGATTTAAGGTTAAGGATTTATGGTTTCATGCTTAGGGTTTAGTGCTTTGAGTTTGGGGTTGGGGTTAAGGGTGGAGGGTCAGGCGCCGGCGCCTGTCCTTTCGGTATCCAGCCACCAGGAAGCCCAGCGTTGCTTTGCGGGCGTCCTCCGGGGCATTTGGGTCGAAACCGATAAAGGCTGCTATTGAGGTGCGTAAGACTGAACCCCAAGCACTGTACGACTGACTCGAAAGCGTAAGCCCAAAACGCTGAACCGTAAACCTGAAACCCCAAACCCTGAACCCTAAACCCCTAACAGATGGTCACTCAGACAACAGGGAGCAGCCAGTAAATGGAAACATTGTTCGACCAAGCAACTTACCCAGGATATTAGGGTGTGGTTTCGGGCTTGGGGTTTAGGGGGAGAAACCGATCAGAGTAATCAGGCTCTTCACTCAGTGAGCATGAGCAATCCAAACAAACCCTGCTTTGGGTCTAGGGTTTAGGCTTAGGGTGCAATCCGCCGAGTCCTCAGGCCATGCCTTTGATCTGGAAATCACGGTTCTCCAGAAAAATGGCCCCACCAAGGCTCCCATGGCCGAGAACGCCACCAACAGGACATACCTCTTGATCTGGTAGTCTGTGCAAGGGATGTCTAGGGCACAACTCACGTACTGCGGAACCTTTTCCTGGAATTTGTCGGACATGAAGTGGACGCAGGGCACGAAGCGCGCAGCGGACCCCATGATGCCCGGCAAGAAGCATGTGACCACCACAATGCTCGGCTGGATCAGTCCCTTCTTCAACTCCGCTTTGAAGGTCTGGGTACACGCGGCCTTTGCGGCAACGAAGATGGCGGTGAAGCACCAAAGGGCAACGGGCGCGGCGGCTGTGAGTAAGAGCCAGCCCTGGATGGACAAAGCCCTTGAGTTCAAGAGGCAATCCAGGCTAGGACTCCACAGGGAGGCCAAGGACGTTAAGAACTTGGGGCGGTGACGGCGGTGAGTCGTCACATCCGAACCTCCGAAGGGAAGACAAGTCAACGCGAGCTACCACCTGCCTACCTATCGCGCGTACACAAAACTCATCCCTGAGAGCTTGCTAGGCGCGGCGCCTTCACTTTCAGTCGCGGGCATGACTTCTGTCACGGTGTCCGTGGATCGCACCGCTCCAGACACGGAGGCCACAACTGTCCCGAAGGACAAAGCGATCTTCAGGAGCACGCTCTGTCGGTTTCGGCCCTCCTGAGCCTTGCCAGCCGTGAACAACGTAAAAACGTAAATCCCCGTTTGCTTTCCCAGGAAGGTGACCCACTGAAGCCAGGAGTACCGGCATTTCTGGCAAACGAATGGATCCCCAGTGCTGCGGCCAAACTCCGGGGCACATTGTGCACAGGCAGTGTGTGTATACCCCGCCGCACAAACACCGGAAGAATACACGTCGATTATGCTGATGTTTTGCGCTGGGCAAGCGTGTGGGTTTGGGCAGCGCGAGGCTGTCTTTTCAACATCGAACCAGTTCCCCCCGTGGAATCTATTCTCAACAAGGTAGCCTCGCGGTACCCTTATAAGTCCCGACCCGTCCAATGGGAAAAGCTGTTCCACTTGCCGGTGCATGCTTTTAAGCCATTGATTAGCTACAGCGTTGTAAGTTCCACTCGACTCTGCCGCACCATAGTTCACGCCAGACTTTGCACCACAAGAGTTTGCCACATCTTTTGGGGTTTTACCATCCATGTCTTCGGCAAGGAGAGGGCTCCTTAGGCTCCTTCCCTTGAAATGATAATTCTCCTCCATCCCCCGCGTCAGTAACAATGCAAGACCCTGTCTGCTCTGGTCATTGGCTGGATCTGCGCAGTAGTGGGCAGGAGTGCGCTGTCGCTTATCCTTGACAGAAAGGTTGGCTCCCTGCGATTCCAACCTCTTCAGAACTGCAGCGACTCGATACCCCTCCGTTTCGCATCCTTCTTCAATGACCGAGGCATATAAGCAAACAAGGTGAGCCGGCGTGCGTCCTTTGTGATCTTGCGCATCGAGGCCTGGCGCGGGGTCATGCGGCAAGGAGGGCTGAGTCAACAGCTCCTGCACATTTGAACCTTTCAACACTGTGACCAAAGGCCCAACCGCGAGAACTCCAAACCCAAACCCAAAGCCTCACACCGAAGCCAGGAACTTTTCAAGGTTATAATTTGTCAGAATCCCAATCTCCAAAACAGACCCCGAAGACGTGAAAACCGAAACAACGAGCTTACAGGCCATGAACACTTGCACCCGGCAATGCACACGCTTCTCCAAAAAGACGCTGGGGCCGGCACGGGCTCCCAGCTGTCCAAGGGTGGCCAGACTGTCCTGGAAGGGTTGGGGAATCCCAAGTACTAGACTTTAAAAAAGCACCCAAGCCGAAGTCCTAAAGCCCAACACCCACTGAATCCTCAAGCCTCCGCCCGTAACCTTAAACCAATCTCCCGCACCTGGCTACTACGACCTTTGCCTGCAAGCCCTCGCTCTTCCCAAACAAAAGAACCAGCCTCCTTGCCGTATTCTGCCGCCACATGGGCAGCTGTCAGGCCCGCAGCATCCTCAGCATTCAGATCCGCACCCTTCGCCTGGAGATGAGATCGCGAAGGTAGCTGCTATGGTCACGAGCCGCGAAGTGTGCCAATGTCCAGCCGCTTTTGCACTCCCGTGCACTGCTCAGAGCATCGAATACATGGCGGTAGTGTGCCGAGTCTTCAGGGCAATACACATGGGGAAAAGGGTCGCAACTGCCCTCCTTCGGGAAAGTCGCATTGATGTTGAGGCCTGCTTTCAGGACTTGTGCCAAGCCGCTGGGGCAGTCGAGCAGGACAGAAGGCTGAGGCTCCTCGCTCAGATCCATGGTAGCTCGGACACTCCTACGATGCGTCTCAATGGGTTTGATGAAACGGCTGATCTCCTCGGTAATGAGCTCCGGGTTAGAGGCGATCTCCTCGGAGATATATGTCTGCTGTATGTCTCTGCAGCCTTGGGCCGCGCCTTTCCTCGGTGGCAAAGGCAACATCCGGTTTTTGCGAACTTAAACTCTGAAGCATATAAGCATGGATTCTCAGCTCATGCCCTGTCACCTGCAGATACAGGAATAATGTGACGAACGGCCTGCGAAGTCTTACCGAGTCTTACCTTGAGGTAAGCGAATATTATAAGCATACTTACAGCCAGTTACAGGTAAGTGCCGAACTTTTCTGTGTACAAGTCTTCCTTAATGCCAGTACGACAGTACTGTCGCGGCATGCTTGCAGTATGAAGAACTATCCCTAAACTCGAACTTTTGATTGCAGATTCGAAAATGGACCTGGAGTGCTCGTGTGTGCCCAAAGGCTTGCCTCTCTAGGTAAGCCTTGTGCCCCATGGAACCGGGAGCCACAAACTGCAGCAAAACAGCGCATTTATTCTCGGGGCTGCCGAGTTGAAAAAGGTTTCGGGCGCCCTTGGGATGGGATTTGGTAGCTCTCGGGTAGGGGCTGTAACGGAAACCAAAAGAGAGTGTAACGGAAACCAGACCAGGAAAAGTAACAGAAACCAGGAGAGACTGTAACGGAAACTACAACAGAATACCTAGAAACCAAACGCAGGTGTAGCACAATCCAGGAAGAACGCTGTGGGAAACCGACAAGAGCTGTTACGTCCCGAGCCCCTTACGTGCTGCCTTGGTTTCTGTTACGCTGGCATGCCCGAAGGTTTCTGTTACAACCCCAAAGTTTCCGTAACGGAGTTTACTCGTACTGTTGATGGACAAAATCCTGCATTATCCATAATAAGGCATACACCCTCATTCCCATATGAAGGAGTTTGTCAACAGGAGGCACGTATTCGTTTGCTTTGAGGGTACACTGGATACTGTACAAGACTACTCCCAATCAGAAGCACAGCTGTGCTCACGCAGAGTCAGAGTGGCGCTAGGCAGCAGCCAAACACCGACATCACACAGTGCAAGATTGAGGATAGGCAGTGATTTAGGAACGAGTTCTTCAAGAGCTCATTCGGATGACACAAGGATGAAGAGAGCGGCCGCTGGGCATCCGAGTGTCTGCAAGTTGCACAGTGATGGAAGCATCGCTCAGCTGAACAACCATCGCAACATTATCACCAGAGGCAATTGTAACAAAGCTTTAGGTGACGGCGAACACACTTAGCTGGGAACATCTGGCAGATGTTTAGCAGAAATGCGCAGCAACTTTAGTGCATGAGCCCATTTCCGGATTGAAAGGGCCTTCGTCAAAGGAATACCTTTCTCAGCTTAGCTGAATATCCTTTACGGATAATGGCGATACAAGCTTCATTATTTGCATGACACAAAAACCTGATGCCAGGAACCTGCCAGGAACCACGGCTTGCCAAACTTCAAGTAAAGGCAACGCGTCATTGAACAGGGCACTGCTCGAACACAACATGCTCTCTTCCGGGAGCATTGGAGTCGCCGAGTGCCTTGAACACATGAATGTGATCAGCTGCGATGATTTCTCCAAATTCCGAGGCTTCAAGCAACGCGGGCTCAGAGTCCTCATCACGAGGCTTGCGACACACTCTTCTGAATAAGAGCTTGGATTGATTGCACACATCACAGAACGGGTTCTTTGGGAAGTGGAACAAGCGATGCTTCACACTTACAGCTGCATCTCTCAGTTTGCGAACTCGATCACTGACACGCGCATCATCCACAACGGGGAATCCAGGTGAACTCAAATCTAGAGGCTTGTCCCCTTCAGGAAGTGCAGATGCAGCAGGACCATCAGGGCTTGCTTCGATAAGATGTTCTTTGGGCAACGCCCCTGACGAAGAGGAAGGTATCTCGGACGAATCAACTTCTGCGGGAATGACATCAACCAGCGGAAGATTGTCCAGTAGAAACCCAACTCCTATGAGAGCATCCAAAACATCATGCTCGAGAGGATCTCTTGCTGCATATACAAGATCATCACAAGTCGATCACCAGTCCAAGGCTTCGTGGCATGAAGTCGATCTTTGGCGGAAAACCGGATGACCCCTTTCTTGGACTTCAGTAGACCGACCACACCACACCACCTCGACGGAAGCAACCTACCGCAAAGGACGAGTCATCGCTCGGCTCAATCCCTCGGGACGCTGAACCACGCTTCGCAAGTCCAAAGATCTTACGAACTTGATTGATCTCATCATAGCGATGTTCGTACTGTTGCAACTGCTCACGCATTTGCTCAACGGTGGCTTCAACCAAACCTCTAGCCTCATTCTCAACATGCTCTAGCCTTGCGGCATGCAACTGTTCAGCATGATCAGCAACATGTTGCGCTGCTTGCGCTGCGGCTAAACGCTGTGCATCCAAAACCTCTTGCGGAGAGGCTCCAACATTCAGGATGTTCTGTGCGTATGAGGCTTGAGCGGTTAGATTAGGGTAAGGGCTTGAGTGCTCACGAGGTCTAGACAAGGCTTGTCTAGTCAGAGGAGGGGACCTTTCACGGACCTCAACTGCTGAACTACTAGTAACCGAACCACTATCCGAACCAACACCACCTGACAATGCCGTGGCTGAAGCACTTGACAAATCAAGCACCGAGCTGGCTTGATTGCTAGGGTCAGAAGGAGAAGACATTGCTGTGGGAGGTAAAAGCGGTTAGCAGCAGCTCACCGCGCCCTTTCTTTTGGCGGAAGAGGCGAGGCTCACGGCGTTCACTGGTGCAACAGTGGAAGGATGTGGCGAAAATTCGCCGAACTATGCTTCAAGGACAGGCACTCCGTTCACTCCTCGGAATTCGGAACAGAGTTGATACACCAGTTGCAAAGCGACTCTTCTGCTTCAATCAGACCAGAAAAACTGGGCACCGTAGATCGAGGATAAACTCGCTTGCCGCGCTTAGCCAATGATGCTCCGGCACACTCGCCCACAACTTCTGCACTGTCGTCAACAATGGCAATGGGACAACGAGCAATATCAAAGACCTTCTCCAGCAGCGCCCGCTTTCCTGATTCACCCGTGGGTTTGCGGGTGACAAAAAGTAGCGAGAGGACTGAAACTCCTGCTTCACAGATGAGCCGATCAGTGCTGTTGCAACTCGTGCCGAGAACGTGAGCTACTGTGTCAGAATGATGGCAATAAGAAAGCACCACCACCAATATCTGCCTGCTCTCCGTAATCTGACTCAACCTCTGCAAAAAGCGAATGTTGCGGTCCGGATACTCTGGGCAATCGTCGCGCCAATTTGTGCTCTGACGAATATCACGGTCAAGGACTCCGTGAAAATCAAAAGCAAGGACTGCACACGCCTGAGCCACCTGCTCAACAGGAACGCGAACTGGATTTCCGCAGTTGTTGTACGCCTTTGCTTCTCCCAACTGCAAAACTTGCCTCGCAGGAGCGCTTGCACCTTCACTTGAGACTCGAGCCTTTGCAGGAGGTGGATACGGAGGAGCTGCAGGACGCAACGTAGGTGCAGCTGCAGGCTTCAAAACAACTGGCAGATCTCGCAGACTTGCTCGCTCTCTCGGCCGTGCTTTGGGAGGCGGGGGAGGCAGCGATCCCTGAAGTCTATGGAACGAAGGAGCTGAGGCTTTCGCTTTGCCGAGCGACCGCTCCGGATGCCTCGGGGCTTAAAAGCGCCTTCTTGCTCACTGTCCATCCATTCTCAGGCAGCTACACTTAGGGTCTTAACTATGAAAGCAATACGGACCTGATAACCAGTTTTCCTAACCCAAAACAGCAATGACACGATGTTAGGGTAAGAACAGGGAAGAGGGAAGGGGAACCCCAAGGGAACCACAGCCCTCAAGTCAAAACCCTTCAC